GAAATAAAGGAGGTGCAAGAAGCAGCCCACATCACCCCATCATCAAATATTACACAAAAGATGAGAAAGACCTTGTGACCAGAAGATCAGGAAGACCTGATCTGGTCAGCGCATTAGCCCAAAACTATTCCTTCAGTTAGTATTTCCACCACCACTGAACCTTGCAACAGACCTGCACAGGAGACTCCTTCACATGTAACAGTAAAAATACAAAAGCAAAAGGAAACATCCCACCACGGAAGCTACCCAGACACCCACACAAACGCCTCACTGCAGAAGATCACTGCAGATAGGTTTTCTATTGCTTGTCTGCTGAAAGCACCTCCTGCCACCATCCCTGCACCCTACCAAGTCTTGAAAGATTCAACTGCAGGTAGCTGGCTCTTCTAAAAATTTTTCCCTCTCCCTGCCCAAAGGCTCATACTGTTGGAGAATTCGCCGGTGGATTCAGCTCACTGCAGCACAAAGACAGGCAGAAATACCCCTGGAGCCCTGCTGATGCCTACAGGGAAACAGCAGCCACAATGCTGCAGGAGCTCAGGGAGGAGCTGGAGTTCAGAAGCAGACTAGCAACGCGTGTAGGTAACCACCAGGGCCAGCTTTTCAGGGAAGACATCTGTCCGCTGTTTACTATACGCCTTCGTGAGACTTCTTTCCTGGCAAGCAGATTCAATCCCAGACTGTATTTAGATGTGGCTACACCGAAATGAAGCTTCAAACTGAATTTGGTTACTGGTTTGCAGGTTCAGTCCTTTGCCCTTCACCTTGGCCATGCCCCCTAAGCCAGTGGCATCACACTGTGCTAACAGCTCGCAACAGAACGTCCACATTTTTCAGCTAATACCCATCTCCCTCTAAAAAAACCAACAAAACCAAAAAAACCCCAAAATAAAAACCACTTCACTTGGCTTCTTTGCTATTATGGATGACTCTCCTTTGACATTTTTTTTCCTTGCATTTGTACTTCTGATACTGTCTCTGATTTTTGCCTATATTTTGCCAGGTTATAAGCTTCCTCGAGGCCTTTCAATGTTTGCCAAATGAGAACTGCAAATCCTCATTTCACTAACCTGCTGAAGAAAGTGGGAAATCTAGCTGTTGCCGTCTTCTTCACAGTTCCTGAGGCAGACCTGCAACTGTGCTACCTCTCTGCATTGCTGATTTAAAGCCTTTATGCCCAACCATAGAGAGAAGCATGCTACTAACGAGAAGGGAACTAAACAAGAACCTGGAAGAACTGGAAGGCAGGAGGAGACAAAATGATGCATCTTTTCCATCTTCTTGCATCATACATACATCTTCTTGTATCACAGTAATTATGAGGCCAAACAACGAATCAAATCTGAGGTATCTAAGTACATACAGCTCCCCTCAAAGTTGGCATAAAATCTTCCTAAGTGAGAGGAAACATCAGAGTGGCTTACGGAATGCCTTACACACCAGGCCAGCATGAAGCTGCTCCTGATGAGCATCTGTACGCTGTTAAAGTTCATCTTGCGTTAAGTACTTTTGTACAAAGACTAACTGAGGTGCTATTATTACCAAAAATGATGTTACTAGTATTTTATATTTCTTATGTAAAGAAATTAACTTTTAGGTTCAGCTAGCTTTATTCCATTTGTTAACACCTAAAGGGCACGACAGGTATCGACCATCTCAAATCAATGGACTGAAATTGCTACACTGGCTCTTTGGCGAAAGGGTGATAAGAGTGCTAATTGCTATACAAGGAGATAATACTCAAAAACCTTTGTGAAAGAGCATGGATTCTACTCGGGAACTACATAAATAACAGCCTCAGGGACTACTTTAACCAGACCTGCAGCATTTCCCAGAGGGAGGGGTGTGAAACACCTCTGGCTGCACGTACCTCTCAGATTGGATCTCTCAGTAAGACACTGATTCACTGAAGGCTGTGTCGGTGTAGAAGCCCACCTGGAATGATCCATCTTGTAAAGCTAAGATCAAGACCCGTAACTGCTTGGTAAGCCGTAACCATGAAATCGATGGCAGTGAAAAAATGGCAGGTGAACCAGGAAAAGGCAAGAGTGGCGGCCCATTTCAGAACTCTGTGTCAGACAGGACAAAGGGATTCCTATTTCAAAGGTATACAAACCGAAGTTTATTTTTAAAAGTGCAGATTTATTGCAAACTTAGTTTGCTCATTGAAAAATGTTACGTAGTCACTTTTCAGGGAAGAGTCATCAAAGCATATATAAAAACTGAAGTCTAAGCGGGGGAAGAGAGTTGATATCCTAAGCTGCCTTAAAGGAACACAGGTACATAGCAGCCATTGATTTCAAATGGGAATTATGGATCTGTATAGCTTTGATAACTTTTGAAATTCCCTGTCTAAATCAATGCTTAGCGTAAGAGCTGGGTTCTGTTCTGAGTTAGACCAGTACAAACTCACAGTGACCTTAGACCAAAGAGCTCCTCTGTAATTTATACCAACGCAATCAAGCAGAACTTGGCTCTCCTCCCTTCCCCCCTGGCATTTGCTAAGAGGAATGTGATGAGGGGCAAATATACTCTGCACTAGCTCCAGCTTCATTAAAAAGTTTGACGGGCACAAGAATGATTTCAAGATCACAGTCCTGAAACCAATTTATAGAAATTAACATCCTCTAAAACGACATGAATATACAAGCAGATTTAAAGAATTAACCATTTGGTATACTAGTTCTCCACTCTTTTTCAGCCAGTCATCCAAACACGTTGAAGAAGGTGTATGGACACAACGAAAATCATTTGCAAATCAAACAGTTGTCTCCTCAACAAAGTATGGGGAACATAATACAAAAATAAATAAATGCCTTGTCAGATTTGCCTCATTTCACAATACCACTGGGCATTCCTCAATCAGCAGGACAATCACAAGCAGGATTTCATAGGCTTCAATTCAACTTTTTACATGATTTAAAAACATTTAAATGTTACAAACATATTTAAATCACCACTTAAAAATATTCGGCTTATATTATTAAGATCTATTTTACCAAGTATGAAATAAGGACTTCATAACAACAGAAGCATGAAAATAATTTTTGTTTCCTCCACCCACATACACTTGCAATTTCAGAAAATAACATATGCATCATTCATACTCCTTTATATTTAAGGAGGACAAATCTTTCAAGAAAAGAGGGATAGTATGATTGCTACGATAGTAAGAAGACACAAGACCTATCCCATTTAATTTCTGTTCCTTAGCAAGATGGAAGGAAAGGTTTGGGTTAGAGATTTTGAGGTGGGCCTGACTGCTAACAAAATTAATTTCTATAGCAACTAAACTTCATTCAACGATCTCTTGCTCAAACAATTTATTAGGCCTCTCTATTATATGTGCTTGGTATCTCTTAATTTCCTGAATTATACTAAAATACATGCAGGTAGCACATTTTACTGTAAGGTAGAATAACATCTGTCTTCTACAGTAAGAAACTGAAATGTGGGATTTTCTATTCTCTCTCATCTGCATCTCAGAAACAAAACAAGAAGAGCAGAGACTTGTTATATTAAGTAGGAGCTACTTCTACAGACCAAGTCCAAGTCCACGTCCAAGTTTGAGCCTTATAAAGTCACAAGCAAATTCCTTTTTTCTCTTCCTGGCAAAGAGATGCAAGTAAACACCTCACAATTTCTGCTGCTGTTACCTCTTGGATTAAAGAACATGAAATAAAAAAATCTAAAAGCTAGTGGACTCCTTTCTTTAAGAACTGAAATTACTACCAAAGAGTCTGAATACTATCTTTAGCAGGTGGGCAGTAAAAGCAACACTGTCCTGCAGACAGCAGGAATTCTTATCTATTTTGCTTTAGTAATTTCTTTTTTGGTTAGCCATGACTGCTGATAGGTACCTGCTAGTTCCTTACATACATTCAGCTTCCTCTACAGAGCATCAAACCCTATAAGTGTCAAAAAACCTATATGGCTCCAAGGGCGGGGAAAAAACTATCCAAGAAAGTCTCAGTAGCTAGACGTAATTTAAGAAATGCATCCATTTGAAACTTACCAAAGGGTCTGACCTAGCGTTGTGTGGATGGGCAGAATACCAACCAAATTCTTCCAGTTTCAGCTGGGAAATACCTGTCAGCCTGCCAGGCACGGAGTTCTGGACAAAGCCACACTTGGAAAGGCAAATCATCAATGCTACAAGGCCACAGTAATTCAGCAAGGGAGGGAATTTTTGCACAGGAATCTTCACTAATCCATGATCTATTTCAATCTTTCTGCTGTTCTTTCTTTCCTTCCCTGGGCTAACTTCATATCAGTCTTCAGATTTCTGGGCAACCAGTCTACTGATCCCCTTGCTGTTCAACGAATTAAAAATCATCATCATAAAAAAAAAAAAAAAATCAGCATGCGGTAAGAACAGTGACCAGTTCTGGAAGGGGACAACTCCCACTTCCTCACCAAAAGAAGGAACTGCTGCTCCCTGCACCCCAAACACACACATGCACACAGAGGAGGTCAAGAGACTATTTTAAGAAATTGCCAAACTCATCCTTGAACCATGATCTTGATTTTGGACTTCAGTGCACCATTCTCAAATCAATGCGTGCAGCCAAGTATCCATGCCAGATGCTACCTTTGGAAAAACAGTAAATTTAAAAATAAAAAGAAAAAAGGGAAAAAAAAAATCAAGAGACTTCTGCCCACTGGAAAACTTTCTACCAGATGCTAATGGGATGGCAAGCACTGATCCAAACCCTAGGAAACAGTAACATGCATGAGTAATCTGAGGTATCTTCCCACTTCTAGGTCTTACTGCTAAGATCAATTACATCCAGTAACTGTGCTGTATCCTTAAGGAATTATTGGGGAATGGTGAACCTGCCTGCAATAAATGAGCACCGGTGCGTATCAAGCACATGTGAACGCTACAGCAAGGTTCACAGAGGGCTAACCCTGGTCAGTACTGAAGCAGGGGTTTTCTTCTCAACCCCCTCTTAAAAAAAAAAAAAAAAAGGGAAGGGAGGACAGAAAAAAATAAAGAAAAAGGAAAAAAGGAAAGATAGAAAACACAGGTCCCCCATCTACCTGCACAGAGCCAGGCAGACAAGCTCAGTTGGAGGTGGTGAAGGGCGCAGATGCGTTATTGGTACTGGTAGCGGTGGCACCGGTCACTGCGAAGCCTGTGGGAGGAGCTATGGAGCTGTGGCTGGGCTGCAGGTCCTTGGGGATGCCACTGTGGGAGCTCAACTGGTGCCCGAAGGCTGCGCTGAACTGAGGGAGCTGTTGTTTAGGGGAGGTGGAGGCCATGAGTTCAGCGGATGCAGGACCCATGCCACTAAAACTGGTCTGCGGTAACCCCGGAAGCACACTGGAGCTGTTGGGGGTCACAGTGGCGAAGGCAGGCTGTGTGGTCTCTGAGTGCGAGGTGGTAGGTGGTGTGGACAGGGAGGTGGACAGGAGGTGTCCATCTGCACCAAGAAGGTTGCTAAACGGAGAGGGGTCCCCAAGATTGACAGGAAGATTTCCCCAGTGAGTTCTGGGGTTGACCACCCCACTAAGTGGCACATCCAGCTGAGTTGGGAGCAAGTGCTGTGCCATCATGGGCATCTCTGCTGAGAAGGTAGCTGCCAAGTTATCACCAGAAAAGGATGTGGTGTGAGGGGATGTGATATGGTCACTGTAGGGAGACGGCACATGCTCACTATCATAATGGCTTCCATGGGGTGAGGAGTGTGAATGGTCACTGCTGTATTGCTGTCGTGAGGTGATCAGGTCATCTGCCTTGCTCAGCAGCTGGGCAGGGTGGGGCCTCTGGGAGGCATGGCTGCCATCATGAAGTCCATGAAACTGTCCTGGGAAGGCTCTCTCCCCAAGGCCACTCTGGCTTATCAGAGTGGCAGAAGTAAGGCCGACGTTGGCTGGGGCTGAGAATTGCCCCTGGATCTGCCCTGCCAGGGGCGTAGGTGGGTTGGACAAGGTAGCAGAACGGAGCAAGTTCTCATCCAGCTCCAGACCGGAGAAATTATCATGTACTATACGCCCATTCAACAGCTCCCCCAGATCCGTGTTAACCTCTCGACTCAAGGACTGCATTCCTGGAGCTCCAGCACCTGTAGAGAACACCCCTATCCCTCTATCTGACAGCTCCTGAACTGGCACACCATCTGTCTGTGTAAGTACTCCAATGGTACTCAGGCACTCAAGAGAAGTTACAGCCTGTAGGGCCCGTTCCAGCTCTTCAGCCTCTTCTGTAGTCGGAAGAAGATCTCCATTTTTACCTGCAGAAACAGGAACACCAGAAGTTAGTATGCTCCTCTCAAGTGAACCCACCACTGGTACCCTAAAGATGCAGATGTACAGACGGTTCAGTACAGAGCTCCAGTCTACGATAACCTTCCAGAATGGCTTGCAGTACACAGAAAATTTCCTTCACCAACTGCTCACTAGATAAGCAAGGTAAGAAAAACGAGAAATTACACCCTCCTCTTCAATGGAATTCCCTCTTCCCGCCCTCCTCTTCGACATACTACAATACAAGATGCTTCTCAAACTCACTAGACTTAAAGTAAAAATGCATAAATAAGATTTTCTTCAACGCTGCAATAACACATATAGTCCACAAATTCCCTTCTACTTACCACATTACAACATGGGCCTAAAATTTACAGAGTCAGTATAATTTAGGTTAATTTCAACTTAAACACAGTCTGATGTCATGTCATATCAAAAAATGACCAAAGAAATCACATACTCCAACTCTGGGCTGTTCTAATTTCTTTGTTATCTGTGATAGGTACTGAGCTTTACAATCCAGAAATTCAGGCACAGTTCTGATCAAAAGCTAGTTTCAAAAACGTATTTAAAAATTTTATTCTCACTCTCTTCTCCTTTTATCAAAGGCCAACATTGACTGTGATTCCAGCCCCACTCGATGGCAGAAAGATGCCATTACTGAGAATACTCATGATTAAACTGCAACACTGACAGGCAAGAAAAACATAAAATGAATTATTAAAATACTAAACCAATTAGTATTTTCAGAGCAGTAATTAGAAGAGCAAGCAGAGAACTACACACACCACTCTTCTTGAAGTCTGCTTTACTTCAGAGCTCACAAACAAACAATAAAGCAAATGCACACTTCCTTGTCTAGTAGCTACTAGCTTTGTAGGAAAGCAAGCAACCCCTCACAATACATTTTAGAAACACTCACTTCTTCAGTTCACTGACTGTGTTCACGTTAGCATAAAATAAAATAAAATGGTACCTTCAAAGAAATCAAAATCTTGCAAGTCATCGGGCAGCCGCGGCAGGACATCAGAGAAGTCCTCCTGATTCAATTCCAAGTCATGTGGAATGTCTGTGATTTCATTGGCGATATCATCAGGCAGCTCATCAGCACTCAGCTCTGGTGTGGAGGGGCTCCTGGACAGAAAGTACCGTTAGTCCAGCTATAATGGGTGTTTCCCCACACCTTTTTTTTTTTCCCCCCATCATCTAGGAAAAAATTGTTTTTTGGGAATTTTCTTTAGGAAGCTCACAGCTGTTCACTGACAACATTCAAGTTAGCAGTGGGCAAACTGGGGCAGGGCTACTACCACTGACCGTATGTGGGGCATCTCTACTGGCAGTGAGACACTGGCAGGCATGGTGAGGTTCCCTTGGGGCACTGCAGGAGGAATGGGTTTCTGGGGCCGGCGTGGGCCTCGTCTTCTCTTCTTCTTGTGTTTTTTGGTAAGTGCAGGTGGCTTTGTTTTTTTCCTGGGTTTCCTCTGCTGCTGGTGCTGAACTTTACGGGAGCTGTCCCCTCTCAAGAAATTGTCCTTTGTGAATAAAACAATAGCAATAGGAGCATATTAAGAATAAGTACTACTTTCCTTGCTTTTTCCCCCCTGCTCATTCCACAGACATTCACATGTAATGCAAGAGAGACTGCTAACTGATACCCAGGCAAAGTTATGAAAATTAAACTATTTTCTTCCTCACTGATCCCAACAGCAAAAATCACATAGACCAAATTATGACGTACGTAAAAAGGAGATCGTGCAGCTTCACTTTAAAAATCATCATAGCAAACCCTAACTAAATCAGTGCAAAACTGTAACCTTTGGCCACATTCCTGTAACCATTAAAGACAGAACACTGTTGTGAGATGGCGATAACGGTGCAGCACCTGAAGCCAGCATCCTCAAGTGCCCATTGTCATGAAAGAGGGACAGCACTGAGGAAACGGAATTAATAATGTAGGACTAGGGTAAGGATATGGGTAAACAACTAAGGCCTCACTGCTTTTGAACAGCAATCATTGATCAATTAAAAAAAATAAACCATCATCAGTTTTTAGTTGCTGTCACACTGTGAATGGCAGAGGATTGTATGTGCTACAGAAGTAAACCTTAAGAGACACACTGAAGATTGCCTGGGAGAGGGGGAAAATCCCATACAAATCTGTGTAACACAGACCCTCACATTTTAATCCAGAAAACTCCGTAATTCACAAGTATTGGAGAGGTTGGACAAAAACAATAACAAAAACCCCACAAAAATCCAACAACAGAAAAAAAAGGGGGGGGGGGCAGTTTTACACCTAATGCCTTGAAGGAGGGGCAAGACAGAAGTAGGTTTGTGAATTATCCTAGAAGTATTGTTCTGGAAGATGGGAGGCATAAAAGAAGAGCAGAGGATGTCATCTTAATTTCTGCATTCTCTCAACTTGTAGTAGGCCACTGCTTTGCCCTCAGATCCCTGAAGGAGATTTAAGATAAATTCTAATAATCACCAAAAGACAAATAAAGCAGCAAACCCATTATTTGTATGCTTGTAATTGCTATCTACACTTCCTCTAGAAAATATTTTGGGCCCCATGTACTGAGACTGTCTGAGATGCAGTGTTCTTACCATACCACACTCAGTCTATATTCAGATCCAAGGGCCAGGAGTGAGCCCAAATAAAATTACCACAGGACCTCTCACAACGATTCTCTATTTCTCAGTTCAAGAAAGGAATCAAATTTCTTCCATTGAAGGAAATTCTCATGCACTTCACTATATCCTCAAATGTATGTAAAAAATTTTCAGACCATATTTTATACTAATTGGGAATGTTTGGCAAGTTTTACCCTCTTAAGAAAAATCAAAGGAAATGAGCTCTTAAGTTCGTAAACTTGCTAGTTGCCAAGCAAGAGTTCATAGAAAGACTGGAGTTAAAACTCATGATCATTCCAATACAAAATTAATTACAGTTTTGGCTTTGTACTTACCATTTTTTTGGCATGTTCTTCACACAGAGGTGTCTGATGTGTAATGTCAAAAACTGGCACAGAGCACTGTTGACCATCTGCAAACTTGGCTGTGCAACTTGAGAAGAGCTGCTGAGAACGGTTCAATAAGATATCTGCGCATTTCTTCATCAGGAATAACACACGAGGCAATGATGAACGCCCTTTGATTTATCAATCTGATGAAGATCAGAGCCTTCAACTCTATCTGTCCATAGATACTATTTTTAATGAGTACCTTAACTTTGTTATTCAAGTTCAAAGCTAGGTAAGGCTCAAACCCAACTTTTAAAGTGAAAAACTGCATTAATGCAGAAACTCTAATGTTTTTATTATATATTGAGATAGTTTTATGGAAGCAGCCATTTCACTAATGAGTTCTTAGCAAAAAGAAGCATTTTCCTGGAGTCTTAATCAATAGATCAATAGTAAAAGTTGGAACAGTGTAGTCAACAGGACTATTTCCTTACAGACTAATGACAATCCATACTGAAACATTAAAGAAAGAGTATTTCTTAATTCAATCTTTTAAGGTTCATTCTTGGCATTTATCTTTGGAGCACAGACAAAGAAGTTTCAAGATCCTTCCTGCTCCTCTGAAAAAAAGATGTGCAATCAGAGAGAAAGGTCAAGTAAATCCAAACGTAAGCTTGCTGAGATTTCCTTCAAAAAAATCCCCTGCAGCAATGAAAATATTTCCAGACTTAGAGTAAATCAAACAGATATTTCATTGTGTTTTTTAAAACAACATTAGAAGCACTCCTTCCATCTTGAACAGTTCCCAGACCTCAACATCACTATATATGTTCAGTAAAACGCAAAAGAAAGGACAAAGAAAATGGAAAACCTGCAGAATAGTCCAGACGACAGACCTGGATGGATGGGTCAGAACCAAGAGCCTGCTCATTTTAGGAGAGGTTGTTTCCACTGAGAGAAAGTGCAGAGGAAAAAAATGGGCACAAATGCAAAACCACTAGTCTTGACTTCTCTGGTCTACGCACACCAACAAGCAAGACAACTTTGAAAAAAAAAAAAAAAATCAGAATCATGAGGCAAATCCCAAACACAGCTGCACACTATGGTGCGCTCTCACAGAGAGGTTTTGAGCTCTCTGCAGACTAATTTTAAGGGGCCTGCAAAAATCAGCAAAGAAACATAAGGCATCTGCAAACCAAAAAGACTGAAAAGGTGCTGCAGTGTGATAGCAACTGGAACAGATCAGTACTAGTTACTTAAAACACCAAAACCAAAAGCTTGAACAAAAGCAGTCACTCCAACAAAAGTGCCAACAATTCTTCAGCTAAAAACAAAAAGTCTGCAGAATTCTGAAGTATTCCAGGTCAGAAGTCTGCCCCTTTATAGTCTTCAGAATCAAACCTCACACCTAATGTGCTCCCTCCTTTCTGTGACCTGGTCATGCATAGACTCCTAACATCCTTTTCGGGCTTTGCTTGAAATCCACAGCACTGGGAGTTCTTCCTCATCTAGAATTTGGATTCTGTGACTCCTTCTATTCTGCTGCTTTTAAACAATGCAAAGTATCAGATTTCCATCTTTCTAGTCAGTGTAAGCCATCTTTTTATACCATGTATAAAAACCTGTTCCCATAAACCCCTTCACAGGTAGTTAGTCTACCTACCAAGAACTGTATGAAGGCCATGAGGCTGAAAGCCACGTGGTTTGTACCAAGTCATCCGTGAAAGATGATAACTTTTGTCAGGGCTTCTTGTGCCCACTAAATATAGCTTACAAAGTAAAACAATGTGACCACAAGAGACACCAGAGGGAAACTACTTCTCTTCACTATCTACAGATCCAAATCACACAGACAAATTAAAAGTGAAGTAGTTGATGAGACACTAACAAATAGGTATTCCTCTGTGAAAACATATTTGGCAATGCATAAACCTAACAAACAAACAAAACCCCCTAAACCAGAACAGCTTCCATGCCTGAATGCAACTCCAAAACAAGAGTTAAGAGGATACGCTGAAAACAATGCCTGGTGAATGGAAGGGCCTTGTTAGTGCACTGTTCTCCCTTCGAAGTCCCACTACAGGTTGTTGGTTCTGCATCTCTCTGCTTCGCTTGGCTTGTGCTGAAAAAAGAAGCACAGAAGAGTTTAGAGACAAAACCCCTGTCTCAGGTGGTTACTTAACACAACTATTGCACTGAATGTGGCACAGTAGGATGAAAAATTGTAACAAACGTGTATGTGTCATGATCCAGATGGGTGCACACTACTACCAGACTCTACACAGGGATACAGAATAGATGTCAATGACAGGTGAAGGCGTGACTGCGGCAACAGGATTATTGTTTATTTCACAGGGCCTTAACTGTAACAAGAAGTGCTGTGTGCTACTATCATGTAAATATTAGAACACCCTGAAAAGAGCCAAGGACAGCAGTAGGTGAGTGTCAACACAGGTGACCCTTAAAATGAGGCCAATCTTTAAAATACAATGTATTGGGTATGCCTACATGGGCAGTCAAGTGCACTTCCAAGCCTGTTCATAAATCAAAACATGCTGAGCATCCCCAGAGCTTACATGCAAGCATGTGCTCAGACAAACTTAGACTGAGCTCTGGGAGTGGCAGAGCCTGAGCATGCTCAACATGGGTAAAAGCTCTCCTTCATCAATGCGCTACAGCCCAATCCACCAGCAGGTGCCCAGAGCTGAGCGCTTCCTCAGCACAGCCTCAATGCTTTGAGCCTGAGCTGCAAGCAGGCGACCAGACAGCAGTGTGGATGAGTACTGCACACTTTACACACCTTGCTTGGTGTGAGCCTGCTCTCGAGGCATTTGTCACCTTCATGTAGATAAAGCTGGAGATTCCAGGGCTGACTTTCACCTCTGTACACGTTGTTTTCTAGGTTGACAAAAAGCTGTCTGTAACCTGACTGTTTTCTTTCAGCCGTTTCTGTCATCGACTGCACTTTGACTGAGCAAAGTTTTAGTAGCAATATTACTCCTGTCAAAAATTTTGTAACTGAAAAGACTCTGTGGTTACTTAAATTAACCAGAGCAGTGATGACAGGCATACCTGGCTTTGCCAGTCTACCCAAAACAGTATAATATCTTTTGCATAATAAAAGGAAAAAATAATGGGAAAAAACAGCAGGAGCTTGCCAGTTCTGGCAAGGTTTTGCTGTAGTTTTTTGGAGACATTTCCACAACTTCGTAAACTAGTAATGTACCTCTACATTACACCTCTGAGCAGTTCTTCAGCATCTCTCCACCTCCCCAACAATAAACCCTCCAACTGTCATGAACCACAGCCCACTGTCGAGGAACAAAAGCATCCCATAACCACAATATAGTCTCAGTACGCTGTTCCAGCCTGCCTCTCATGGTTAGCATGCCCTGCCCCCTCAGTCACAAACCCACAACAGCAAAAGGATGCTGCCCATACCCCAGACATAACGCCGGGGTCCAGACTTACTCTGTTTCTGCACAAATATGAATCAACCAACTCTCAGTATGCTGAGAGCTGGAGGGATGTTGACATTACCTAGGAAGAATTCCCACAGAAGGCAACCTTCAGAGTTGTTAGAACGTATTTATTTTGTTGCCAAGCTTCATTTAATGTTAGATTGAGTTAAATCTAACAAAAAAAGCATGAGCTTAAGTTTGATTTACTGGGAAGATAATTAAGAGGTGGTACAGACTTTTCAAAAAAAGCTGTTTGAAAAATGAAATCTGAATTGAAGCAGTGAACTGCAGACCAGACTGCACACCTTCTAAAGAACTGGGCTTAGTAAAGTACCAGATATTTGAAGGCAGCCAAAATACATAGATTAATTAATAAGAATAAATTTTAGCAGGCCACTAACTCCTTTTATGACATTTAAGAAATTAGGCCCAGATACTGCTGAACAAACAATCCACATTTTAAAACACAAATCTGGAGAATGCCTGTCTTCACTGAAAACACTGTATGCCATGTTTATTTTACTCTACTGACAGGCATTTATGTGTCATGGTTTTTCTGCGTTGTGCATGCCTACCAGTTTGAGAGTTCAGCATTTCAGCTGCTGGATACTCTGCCCACCTCCACCCTGTCCAGACCCCAGGTTACTGCAGTCACAGGGGAGGGTCTAACCTGGTACGAGCACACGTCGCTCTTCGGAGTTCTTGTATCAGTTGCCCAGCACGCTCCGGCTCTCTGCTGGCTGCCTGCAGCAAGGCTTTCCGGAGCGTATGCCGGCATTTCTTCTGACGAGATTCTGCCCGCTCCAGGCGGCAGAGGTGCTTGTATTTCTGCTGAAAGTAAGTGCAAAGTCTGGTCACCCTGGAACTCCTGTCATCTGCATTGTCATCATCAGACCTGAAAGTGGGAAAATAAAAACAAATGGGCTTTAAGTATTTTTCTTCCAAGGAAGCTTATTTGTCATTTTAATAGAATTGTTAAGTGGGTATCCATCTTCTAGTCCCACAAACATCCAAAGGCTGAAATCAGGCAAGTATGCTTGAGAAATAGTAAAGAGGAGGATTCCTTTTGAATTGTAAAGGTACTTATCCTTCTTAGTATGTCATTATTAGAGATCACATCAATTTATCATAAAGTCTGACACATTTAGTCAGGAGTCTGGAGCCTGCTGTTAAAAAAAGAAAAATCTATACTGTTAACCTTTATTTACGGTAAATGTCTCAGCAAATGAGACAAACTCTTAAATCAAAGTGCAATTAATGGAGAGGACAAGGGTGGGGAACTATGTAGTGAAAATTTATTGAAGAAAGGTCAGTCTGGAGAAGACGGTCAAATTCTAACTAGTTCCAAAACTGCTGACCTTTTCCAGTTCCTTTTACTCTGCCAGATGGTGTATTCCATTCTAACCAAAATACACACTCACACAGCTAACAGTTGATACTCCTTTCCCCTTGCTGCAGAGCTACAGTACAGCCATGGAGAACAAATTCACATTTAACTCCAAAGGTACTGAGGGAAAAATCAGACCAGGGCTAAGCAATGACCAGATGAAGGACTGATCCAATTCTTCGTTTGCGTAAGAAAGCCGTTTCCCATTTATATTGTCTTTCTGAATGTCCAGGCACGTATCAGCAAGACCATCAAACCGTGTCAACACATTCAGTTAAATTAAGTAAAAATCATGAAACATAATAAAATCATCACTGGGACTTGTTAAAACACCAAGGTCCATGAAGCTACCCAGAAATCCTCCAAAACAAGCACTGGTTTGCAGAATAATTTTTTTGTTCACGGAGCAACAAAGTGCAAGCACTGAATCTAAGCAAAGCAGACTTTGTTCATTTTTTCCTTTAAGTTTTTCCTTATAAAATAGAGAAGCTTTTTGCTAACTTTCCTATCTGTAAAAAAAGGGAAGGACGGGGGGGAAGAAAACAAGGCCAAACAAACGAACAAATCAAAAGCTCCCAAGGTTCAGACTGCAGAGCCTGGCCAGCGAGACTGAATGAGCTGACATCCAACCTGCGCACAGAGGACCACAACTAGCTGATGACAGAAGAGATGCAAAATACCAGCCATGATATTTACTAAATAAAGTAAGATTCGGAAATGCAGGCAGAATAGCTGTCCCTGAAAGGCAGCATGACTAAGACCTACTTTCCTTTCTGGAAAATCTTATTCAATTCACACACAGGCTAAATTTAAGAGACTGCATCCATCTCCACTAAGGCTGCCCACAAAAACTCTGCAGGAGCAAACACTGCCTTGACACAAATGCACATTTTCATGAAGTTTTATGTAAAGTCAACCACACTATATATTTTGTTAAAACAGAATACAGATTATCTTCTAGAAGCATAAATAACAAGTAATTAACCTCTGCAACTAAATGCTTAGCAGCAAATACAACCTGTTAAAAACATTTAACATATGTAATGTTTAAAATATTTTCACATTGAAAGTGAAAAGAAAATACACTTTTAAGATCTATCAGGAAAGAAAGCCTACTGGGAAAAACAATCTCTTTAGAAAAACTTAATTGTGTGCTATTTAATATAGATTTTCCTTTTTCCAATGTATTAATAGGAAACAGGAATACATGGATGGGTTCAGTTAGATACAGGTAGGTTTTAAGGTCTTAAATATTTCATTACTGCTCTGGGCCACGATTTTTAAACGAAGTTGCAGATGTACTCATTTAATTTTAAATATGGTTACAAATTAACTTTAAGAAAGGACAGGAGTATTCCTTAGGGGAAAAAAAAAGGTGTTTCATTTAGGTGGAAAGACTGTTTTTTTTAATGCAAATGTCTCTATATTTGAGACTTTTTACTTCCCTCCCATTGAAATAGAAAGAAAAAAATCATCATATGTTAAAATGTTTTGAACTGCAGTTTATGAGATAATTTTTTAAAAGTAGATGAAGACATATATACAAGACATAGAAAGAAATCATGCCTGTAGTGGACAAGGGCTTATTTTGAGACATTTTCTAAAAGCCTATTCAGAATTTTGTTTCCAGGCCAGTAAGATTAACTAAAACATATGTATAAGTTCAAAGAAACCTAGAAGTAGCACAATAACACATACTGAAACCAAAAGGTACTTTTATTGTTGTCCTTTCATAAAGAAGTTTACCAACTTCTATTTAGTTTATTCTCTTATGCTGCATATATAACTTCTAAAGTTCAACTTAATGTGTGGCATTTCGTTTTTTTTAAAGATTTCTGAAAGTGCACGTAAACCATTTGATAATCCAAAATGCTTCTTCCCAACCCTTCCCTTTAAGATTGTCATGTGTAAACATGACAGGGGAATTATTGCTGAGTGTTCATGAAGAAAGCAAAGGCAGCATGAAGCGGCAGAAGCGAAGAGCAAAAGGGTAGTGCAAGCAGTCAGGCACCATCAGGGAACCAGGAGAACATGCCCTCTACTCTGAGACCTCCCAAAAACTGTACTTCAAAACCCTCTGTAAGGAGGGATTTGAAGAACATTCCCTTTATCCTTTTAGTTCTTCTAGTTCTTGAGAGTTATTAAATCCAACTTTGACAATACAGTATTGATATTTGCTCTTTTGAGCTGGTATGAGGAGGGACACCAATCCTCACACTCCCATTTCAAACTTTCTACTTGAAATGCTCACTTTATCAGTGTAGCAAGTGAAAAACTGCTTCCTTTTAAAGTCATTTGTTTTCCAGTACCTTCCAAGCTACAAGACCCAGGAATCAAATCTGGGGGAAGGCTTCATTAATCTGTGGCAGGGTACAGCCCTTGCTTTCCCTCTGAATTGCTGCTCCCGCAAGGAATTGCTCCCACCCCAGCAGTCTTCCCTGCCAGCCACCCTGCCTGCACTGAGCCCGGTGCCAACCCCTGCGCTATTACTTGAACTCAAAAATTTGTGTCTGCCTCGAAGCGCTGCATCCTGGAATCCAGTGACCACAGGAACCCGATTTTTCAAAATTAAAGGACAGAATAATAAAAACAAACATTTGGCTTGTGTTTCCACAGATGGCTGCAACAATATGAATTTTAGAGATTAAAAGGCCAGAAGGCAAGTGAACTCAAAAATGTACTGCTGTTAAGACATTAATTTTAAACAAACCTGGTGAATTTTTGAGAGTTTAAAAGCAGCTAGAGTATCACACAAGAAGTTCAACAGAAGGTTAGAGGATTCCCCCCACAATCACACAGCCAGAAATGCTGAGAACAAGCTGTCCAGTAATGCAGAAATTAACTGATCGCTTTCTTTTAATAATCTCTTCTGAGAGGCATCCCTCCTGCTGTCCTCCATGGAGTCAAATGAAAAAGGACAGAATGGAGTTAGCTGGTGGAGAGTTATCCCTTTCACAAAGGGACAACAAGCTCAGACACAAATGAACAGAGAAAAAATAGCTTTAATTTTACTATGAAAAACAGTAAGTAAATTCCCGTAAGTTTAGGTATGTGCTTTCAGAATCTAAAGGTTTTGTGAAACAATCTCCATTGGTTTTCTGGTAAAATTAGCCTCCAAAATTCAGAGCCAGAACAAGTCATTGGCTGACTAAGTTAGGAGCCACTAGTTTACACCACCAGATTAGCAAGACAGACATTTTGACAAATCGAATCACCCAAGAAATAGTCTGAACTAATTCATCTTCAGCAGCAGACAGGCCACATTGCAAGTGTCAAAGTGAAACATTTCAGGTAATAAAAACCTTTACAGAAGCTTGCAGAATAAGACTTAAAGTTTTAGAAGTCTGACACCAAGTGAATGTATCAGTGTTTATCCATAAACAAAATCAGGAAAGTTGTTCAAGAGCTAACACTGGGCAGGCTGATAGAAGTACAAAAGCAGCCAGGACCATACAAAAATATATCCATCATGATTAGTTAAGACAGTGTTTAACTGAAGTGCATAAAATGCTAGAATGAAACAGAAAATGTCAAGACAAGGTATTATTTTCTCTCAGTATGTGAAAAGAGTGGGAAGAATTCAAAGGAAGTTAAGACAAATAGAAGACAAAACACACAGAGATGACCTTTATAAGCTGACAACAAAAAAATAGGGATCTGGGGAAGAACCAGATCAAATGTCAGAGAGAAGAGTGTAAAGGAAGTTATTTAACAGGTATCTCTGCTTTGAAAATTATGTATGATTTAAAAGTCTGAAAGTCTGTTCATGTTTTCCCAAAACAGTTAATTTAAAAGTTGCCTTTTAAGTTAAAACTAATGTTTGTGAAAGCTCACTCTCTGACTGCTGATGCCCTAAAAACAATGTTTTTTCATTCACAACCAAAGAAACCCCTTCTTTTAAAAAAGAAAAGTCTACACACTATTATTAAGCCTTGACTCACTGAAGGCTCTCAGTATTTAGTTATCCTGGTGTCTGTCCTGATGACAGAGATACAGCTTTGTTGTTCACCTTGTGGACAATCCTTAGAGATGGTAAGAAGTTCTGTTAATTTTCAGAATTTCCATGTAACAACAAAATAACGTTTTATCAACATCATTACCCTAACTGTGATATTTAAAAATTAAACAGACGGGAGACAGTTGTAGTCTCAGAAGTTCAGTTGTATAGTGAAAGAGAATCACGTTATAGAAACTACAATCAAATTTTATTGAGACCCCAATTTCCTTTTGTTATCAGCATGCTTCAGTTTCATTACAATACTATACTTGCGATGCTTTGCTTTAGCTTTGCACCTTAAATTTTACATTATTAGACATATAGTATCATATCCTGCTGTAAGTTCAGATTCATGACTTAGCAGCATATAGAGAACACCGTAAGCCTTTCTGCACCAACAGTTAATACCGACTCTGCTTATTCCTTCAATCACATCACTTCCTTTCAATGCTCCCAATTATTTAACAGAGGTTTATTCAACACTTAATTATGAAAAGAAGTGCTATGTCCTTTAAAAAACATGTTAAAACAACATCTTGCACAATTACCATAAGGATCAATGAGTAAAATGTAGCAAGTTTACTAAAAAAGTTACTCACAAACAGTAGGAAAGACAAGAAACTAATAGCAACTCCCTTCATTTGGTTCTAATTCAGGAAATACGTGTACTCAGCAAGGCACAGAAGTTCATGAATAAATCTGACTAAACTCAGTTAAATTTAGGCAAATAAGCTTAAATTCCTTCCTGATGCATCCTTCTGATAGCAGACTGCACAAAGGTCTCCAAGTTAGGTGGAAACTGGGACAGAAGGCGACAAGCTGTTTCATAGCTCTTACAAGAAAATGAGTTCAAACAATCCTTTGTTTCAGCAAAGCACTTGAACAAGTGCTTAGGTTCCACTGACTCCACTTGAAGCAAAGCTCACATTTACATAATTTTTTCCATCAAGGCCAGCATGAATACTAAAGAATCATACTCACTCATGTCTCTCATAGCCAAGGGTTTCTCGGATAGACCATGCAACCTGGTAAGGGGAGGTTTGCTCTGAATCGTCCAACTCTTCTCCACTGTCTTCAGACCAATCCAGCCCTAAGGGAATTGAAAACATGAAAGACGGATGAAAAGTGTATCCACCTCATATAAGACTCTGAGCAACCTGTGGCACAAAAGATGAATGTGCAGTATAGTCACAAGCATAATTATGTTTGATTAAATAATATAATATCTTCAATTACACATTAAAAGTTACAGTAACAGCTCCATTACAGTGTGCAAATGGCATGCACTGATTTTTCTCACATTTGAGTTTTCCTTTTAAAATCCTTATTGGCTCCTTTATCTATAAGCAGTGAAAGAAAAATCACCAGCTTTCTTACCCACAGAAAAATACTACAGCTTTCATACCAAACACATGGAATCTTTAGAGATGAGGTAAGAGAGAAGTCCCTGCCACAAAGAACTCACTGCGTGTAATTGTGAATACTACATGATCTAAATAGGCCACTTTCATTTCTTTCTGACCCCTGCTCTGTGCCAAAACATGGGGAGAATAGGAAAACCCTAAGACGAAGCAGCATGGACAGAGACAGATACATAGCTGCGCAGGATGTTCCTCTGCTCAGTCTCTGTAGTTGCCTGCCAAATACATACATTAGCATGAAAAGAGAGCTAAAGAGAGAGCTGCAAATACTCCTGCACTTTTACTAAGCAGCATGCTTTCCCTTAATGATGACTGCAGTAGGATCAACTTATTGTATGCACCAGCAGCCTGAGTTAGTCAAGTTGAGCACAATCGTTGAACAGGACAGCCAGAAACAAGAGTCCAGTAAGTTCTCAGGTGGAACATTTTATCTGGACATTAATCTTCTGCAGTTTTTTCTACTCTCCCTCTCACACCCCGTGGAATTCTTGCCAATTCCTTGCAGCAGGTGGGATAAAATCCCGTAGTTGCATTTACAAGCCAGCATTATTACTTTTTCTCTTTCTTGCATGCTCCTTGAAAATGGAGCAGCAGTTGGGATAGAGTTAAGGAGCACTTTATTTTTGCTAAAAACAAACTAAACAGCTGTATCTGAGATGATTCTAAAGTCAGATGCTTTGAATTTGGGAAACACATCAGTACTTGGTCACCTACTTTCCGAGTTAGACACACACACTTGGAATACAATTGTCAGGAGCTCCTTTACCATTGAGAAGTCACACTTTAAACATAAATCAGAAATATCAGAAACCCTATTTTTCAGGAACTTCTGCATCCTGAAAATTCTACTCTTCATTCCTATTTTTAAGATATGCATTTGAACTAAATTAAGATATCTTAAGACATTTGATAAAATGCCAGAATTATACTTCCAACTTAAATGTTTTTTTTACTCTCACCCCTTCTGTAAAGGAATGAAAAAACAGCTTAATCATTGGATAAAGATGTCCACAATTGATACCATGTAAAAAATTATCTATCCAAAGTTTAAAAACTAAATCAGAGGTTGCACTCTTTTGCTTCTAATGGGCACTGCAGAAATGAAGGAATAAAAACTAATGCAGATTCAGCTATATTCATACTGAAGACTGCAGTTACATTAATATCCAATTACATGGCTCTGATGTAATCCACAGGGCTCATCCACACATAAAACTGGCTGCACCTTTTTAAAGATTCTATGCAGTCATCCCTAGTGCTACTCTATCATAAAAAAGAAATCATTAAATTCTCTGAACTGGCGTAACTAGTCTTTAATACTAAGGCATATTATGAATAAATAGCAAATACATTTTCCAATCTTATGTAATTAATATGAGAATTCTGTTACTTTGCCAAATATAAAATGTTCTAATTGCATACACATACATTTAAAGGCCTAATTTTTTTTTTACTATACCTCTTTTTTAGGAAAATGTATTCTCTTCATCACTTGAGAATGTAAAACATTAAACACAGTAAGCGATCCTTCTACAGTCTTTCAAAACACAGGTCACTTCCTAAGCTATTCGGGTCTGTGACACTTCGAAGTGCCTCTGGAGTTGCCATTCCTCAAAAGACCTGCATTATATATAAGACCATCAAAGCAGTTTTCTGAAGAACAACGTCCTTTGGAGACATGCTATGGGATGCTAATTATCTTCTGAACAAATAGTCAAGCTATCCCATGAGTGCCAAAGGGCAGATCTTAACAGCAAATTAAAAAAAGGTTAATTGAAATAGCAAAAATTACAGATGTTTGCAATTAAATAAGATGTTATATGAAGAACGTCCAGATTTATCTGAAGTCTTTTTTTAACCATCAGGCATTACTGCTCTAATATCACGCACTGACTCCTGTTTCCCTCTCCCCTGTCAGTATTTTACTCATTAGAATAAGTACAGTTTAAAACTAAGCAGAGAAGTAAGGTAACTTTGGAGAGTGAGGGAGATAACAAGGACAGCTAAGTATACCTGGGTCTGTATTCATAGACAATTAAGTCACAAGGTCAGCTGCCCTTTTAAAGCTTTATCAAGCACTTCTACCATAGCAGCAAGTTGGTTATATTTACTTACGTTTTCACAAGCAGCAATTGATTATCACAGTTTCTAGATAATAAGTGAGGAGACTATTCCTGCACTGGTATGTGGACAAGACTCCACCCCTACAATTACCTTCTGTAACGGTGCTGCCCTCCTGCAGTAGTCTTTTGCTTTTGTTCATCCACATTCTGCACACCAATAGGCCCAGTCAAGAAAAATTCTCTTGAACTCCAATTTTCCCAGTCAAGTCAATGGGAAATTTGGATCTGCAGAGAATGATGGGCCAAATCTCCAAACTTTTACTTGCACTCACTTTGTAATGTGCACTTGTCACATATTTAACATTCAATCTAGCCTTGTCCACTCACATAGGTACAGCTGGTACCACCTTTACTACTCAAGTTGTAAACCTTCTATAAGATGTATCATCCAAGCAATGTTTTCCAGACTTCAGTTTGATTTCTCAAATGGTTAACAGAACATTAAGAAGAATAAACAACCAAAATGCCATAAACCATATGTGATGGGTCCAGGCATTCCCTTCAGAGAGAACAGGGCTAAAGAAAACACCAAGAGATTACCTAGTTCCGAGTTATTTTGTAAGGACCATACACAAATGCAGGACAGGGCTATGAAGACATTCCCCTTTTATCTTTTGGTTTCAGGTTACAAAATAAGGCGGCAGTGCATCTATTATCTACCCACCTAAATGTGGAAACAGATCAGTGTCCAGCTGCTGTTTTCGAGTGCACAGTTTCACCAGTCTCTGTAGCCGGCTCATGCAGGACGAGTGCGGAGAGAAGGCTGTGGCTTTCATGAGGACCCGATCAGTCCTTGGAGGGTCCACGACAGGAGCCCTAGCGGGTGGCAGGAGAGGCAGAGGTCTCTTGTTAGACAACTGCCGGGCTTGTGCTATAGTGTGTGTGGTGGGTGCCACTCCCTGCATTGGTAGGCTGGTGTTCGGAGGTTGAGGTGACTTGCAGACTACGCCCTGCGGTAGCCCTGTCGGCTTTAACGAAGCTGATGAAGGTGGCAGATGGGAGTGCTGCTGCTGCAGAGGCTGCTGCTGCAAAGGTGCAGGAAGGGGGCTAAAGTGCTCTTGGCGAACTTTTAAAATCTCTGTCTCTCTCTGGCGCTGCCGGTTTTGAGCCAACTTGCTCTGCAACTTCTTCCTCACTGTTGCCCCTTTCTTTAGGTCATCATCCTCCTCATTGAAAGCAAAGGGGTCTTCTAATTCTGCTTCTAGGTAGTGGAGAGGAAGCCTAGCCCCTGGAGGGGAGAGGGACATCCCATCCAGTCCATTGGGCATCTTCAAGGCCAGGGTGGGCACTGTCAGACTGAAGGCCATAGCATCCATCTGATGCCTGACCTTTACCTCCTCTATGGGATCATTCTTTTTCTTCCTCTCCTTTTTCGGTATAAAGCCAAGTACCTGCAGGTGGCTGTTGCAGTACCTTTGAAAAGTAAAAGCAGCCCGTTAACTCAACTCTTTTAAGTAAAATCTGAAGAAAACAGACGTCACTAAAGGAAAAATGCCTCACACACATCTCATGCCAATATAGATCAAAACACAAGGGGTTTTGTAAGTGTACACAAGTGTTCCTAATAAAACAGATAACTGTGGTGCTCCCAACCTGTAACAGAAAACAGAAACTTATACAAGTGACAATTTGTAATCTTAAGATACACAAGTCTTCATTCGTTATTCATAGAACATTCACACACAACCATTCAAAATATTTACTCTCTAATAAATACTCACAAAACAAAGTGAACAAAACAAATGGACTGTCTGATACATAAACTAGTAAGAACTCAAGCCATTAACTCTGATACTTTCAAAATCTCCCAAGAAAAAGTACATTAGAGACTACTTCCTTTCCTTTGGCTCTTCTTTCCCTGGAAGTTAAAAGTTAACATTTTCATCAATGCACATATTATTATTATGAATCCCACTGTAGTAGGGAGCACTTTCTTATATGGACAATCTCACTAGAAATACCTGCCGAGAAGTGTCACTATTTGCACTTAATGAACAAGTAGCATAAATATGTAAGTTCTGTTTCAGTAGTTTAACATGATGAATGTTGTAGCCAGGGGATTAGCTGCATGTTCTTCAAACAAAAATCTAGTTTAAAAGAAAGTCTCTTGTTGCTAGACAATGTTTACACAATGCCAGGAATATGTATACATACAATCCACAAACATGGATTTTAAGCTCTTCTAATATATAAAAAAACCCCTTTTAAAGTCATGTTATTTAAAAAAAAAAGAAAAAAAGGAAAATGTCTTTGAAAGTTTGTCATGAAAATTAAAAGAAAGAGTTATGATTTATGGCCACAGATAACATGCTAAGAAGTAAATGATTAATTTTTATCTGATTAAAACACGCAGGTGATAGAAATGAGGAAAAAGTGATGTCTACATCAAGGTATTAACGAACAAGCTAAGGACATGTCCATGAAGGTATTCCTGGATATAAATAAGGACAAGATATAGAAATATACCATAAAGGTATAAAATCTGATCAGTATGAATCTGAGAAAAGTAAGTTTTGTTGAACAAATAGGTTAAAAAGACATTATTCCTGGTCTTCATGGAGGAAAAAAACCCCCACAAAAGCCCAAACCAAACCCCTCAAAATATTTAACACTTCAGTTTACTGACTTTCAACTTGCTGTTCCAGCCCTAAGCAGCAATGTGTGAACTGCTTCTAAAGGGTCCATAAAAGGTAAAAAAGAAAAAGTAAATTCATACATGCTCCTTAACAGTCTCCATACATATAGTTTCTCGAGGGATCCACACCCATAAGGATTCACAAATCAGAAAAGGCTGAAAAGTACTGCTATTTATTATTGTCTAAATAATTTCTTTATTACACTAAGTTGTAAGTAATAAATAAATCTAAATGAGGCAAGCTGAAAGCCAGCAGTATGTGGAGTCCTTATTAGAATACACTGGAATACTGGAAATTCATATTGAGAGATGCACTTCTAAAAATAAAATTATATAATGAGAGCTCAATAAACCTTCCCTTAGAGTCAACAGCACTATTGCCATAATTAAAATCAAGTACTTTTAAAATATTTTGTTTGAACAAGACTGAGAAGATCTATTAGAACAGCACTTCTAGTATGACAGAAAAAAAAAACCAGACAAGACAAACACAATGGAAGTTTTTCCCCTCTTATTCCAATAAAAAGAGAGTTTTGCTCAATGTGAATGCTTCCTTTATATTGTTCAGAACTTAAATATTGCCACCTTGTGCTTGTGCAGGAGCGAGGAGGTGACACTGGCTAGTCTGTTTTCATTGCAAAATCCAAAGAGAAAGCAAAAAATAGAAAATGTGAATAAACCTATGAAAAGGTAATTAGCTTGCTAACATTCTCTGAGTTTTAGGCTATTAAGGGTTTTGCTTGTTTGTTTAACTCTAACAGAACCATTTTTATATGGCAGAGAATAAAGCTTTGGCTCTTACAACTGACCATACTGCATCACTGAAACCCAACAATATTTTTACACAGGCATCACCTCTAGACACAAACCCATAGATGCCAGGCTACAACATCATGAAAATATAGACCACATGCACTTGCAGACTCTAGTACACATTGACTTGGCTCTGTGCATTAGGCTCTATCTATCAATGCTCTGTCCTCCAGCATAATCAAGGATAATACACCTTGCCCACTGGACTAAAAGGAGAAGCAGAAGCTGGGAAGAGCACTTAAGACTCCTCTGGGTAGTGAAGATTACACAGGCAGTTTTGGCTAGGCATAATTTATTAGCACCAACTCAACCTTAGCCTTGCCAGGCTCTAGCTGGTCCCATGTGGACCCAGGCGGGCATGCACATGCACTTCCCCATCCTTCAGGATCCAGGATGGTTTTTTAGTTGGCCCTGGCCCAAACTGGCTCTGACTTCACGCAGTGCTGCAGACATGTCTGGTGCAGACATTAACTGACTCTGCTGGAACCAGTCTATAACCAGCTGAGTTAAGGCAATAAACTCTTTGGATCAGGTAGGGAAGGTGTTAGTAGTTCGTGCTCCGTGGAAGACAGATTTCTGGGGAGACTGGAATAGCACCTGCAAGTAGCACAGTCCCTTTCCCATAGCTCTGAGCACGAAACCTGTCAGGGTCAAACTGGCCCTACAAGAGGCAATTCTAATGAGCTTGTCTCAGTGGCACAATTTGTCATTTCTATAACCTGCTTGTCAGTTATTGCAGCTGACAGTATCACTTTGAGTATCTAACATAGTTTTTTCCTCCTTCCTTACTGAGCACCAAAGGCACTTATTCTGTGCAAGTGAGGTCGAATGTAGTCAGCACATATGGTAAGAGCAGTGGCTTAATATCCATTAAAACTATTGTAACATGAAGCACACAAAAGGTGATGGGCTCTGAAGGCTTCAGCTGGACAGTTTCCCACATCACTGGGAGGGCAAGAATCCAGACAGTGAGGTTTTCCACCTACAGCTGCATTCTGCTTCCCAGTACATTCCAGATTAGTGTCAAGTTCTGTCACCTATTTAAAGGAAGATCCAAATAAACTGGAGAGCATCTTGCATATTAACAAAATATTCAAAGATTCTCTTGAAAGAGGAGAATTAGAGATAAAATTGTGTTTAACCCTGCTGAATTTAAGAACCCTATACTTAAAAATTAAGTTGAACTGAACTGCATTATCTATGTGTGTGTATTTGGGTAAGAAATAATTAAGAGACGTATTCAGAGTAAATACAGATACAGAACCCATGTCTGTATCATCCTGTGTATATTCTTTAAAAGAACAAGGTAGTGAATAGAGAAACTAGACTTCAAATTAGGCAATGAAGTCATGTATTATTAATAGAATGTTAATAGTTAATAATAAATCTAATAATATGACAGCATATTAAACATCTTTGTGGCTGATAGTATCTCATTTGTCTGAGGTCAAGTGATTTTTTTTTTAATTATCTGTGGACAGACTATGAAGGTTTTGGCATATAATGCATGCATCCTGTTAAGACATTTTATCTTTAAAAGTATGTAAGAAGATAGCTGTCAGAGCAGAAGCCTGCTTCTGATCATATACAGTTACATATCTAAAACTGTGACAAAATGACCATCTGACAGTAATTTTGTACACATAAGATTAAAAGCTACAAGTGAAGAACTCGGACATTGCAAACATCTTCATATTGAACAGAAAGTGAAAAAAGTCTCTTAAGAAACAGACACAGGTTTGCCTGCCAAAAAAAAAAAAGTTTAGAGCAGGCACAATCTTATCACTAGCATTCATTAAATTTTATTGTTAAGATTAAACTCTGCCCTGAGAGGCTGGCTTTTAAAATATTATTTCGAACTATCACATCCTCTCATTTGAAATTAAAAGTTTATTTTCTCCTTCACACACCTGCTGTCCCCTTCAAGTACTGTAACGTGACACTTGACATGCAATTGAATTATTCTAATATAACATAACCAGATGTCATGACCACACTTCACTTTAACTTGAGAAAAATCAAGAAGAACAAAGTGTGAACTCAATTGTAGGTGTAAAGAAAAATCCCAAATTCCATGGAAACATATGAGATCTAAAAAAGTGTCATTAAGTACTATTATTTCTATTGTTTTTAAGTATGATCCCTGGTAAACAGCAACTCTGGCTCACTCAGCTCTTGCATCTGAAACTACAGCACACCATTTGCGCTAACAATTTCCACGATCATTTCTGCGAGCTTATTTCCAAAGAGCCTCAATTGTACAGTAGCAAAGAAACAATCACCGACTGTCAAATTACAGCTTAAAGTTATTCATCTTGTGCCATTTAAGCATTTGCCCTACAGCTTTTGACAAACATTCATTTTTTTTTCCCCTCACTTCATCATTCTCCTCAACTGAAATGGCAGGTGAAGTGCAAGTTAATTTAGAGCACAGTCCAACCGTTGTTTCAGACAAGAGAGGGAGCTGTGAGCTGAGAAGGAAGCTATATGTAGGGCACAGTGGGAACACTGCTAATAACGCAAAAGGTTAGTGAATGGCAGCTAATAATGTGAAAGGTCAGTGAATAGCGGTTTGATTCTTTTTTGGCGTATTTTGTTTATATTTTAGGTTAAAAAAATCATTTCTAACAGAACAAGCCTCAGATAGTTAACACACACATTAAATACTGTTACTGGCAGAACCTGTAACAATGACTCTGAAAAACTTGTGTCATATACACATGTCAGCCAAGATTAGATAATTTCTGCTATTTCAGCCCAAGCAACACAATGAGACTGGTGTTCAGGAAGTCTTAAAGAGCAAGTGTGGTTACAGTATGGGCTGAAATTCAGGAAATCTGGTTTGAATTCCCAACTCTCCAACAACTTCAAGCACTAACTCTTGCAAGGCATTTAATAGCTGGGCACCTTTGGTATCTTCATTTGGGGAGGGAGGGGGCGAGGAAGCAGGGAAGCAAAGAAGAAAGGGAGTGGACAGCACTTTCCCAGCTGGCTCATCTGTTACTAAGTAATATTTCTTTTATTCAAGTAATACAACACTACAGATCAGTACCAAATCACAAACACTGAATTGTAATTCTGGGTTCGTCCCTATGTGTCACTGCTCCCTAAGCCCAGAGGTATGCATTTTCAACTGTTTGTCCCAAAAAAGTAGATGGAAGTGTGCTTTTGGCACAGCTGGCCAAACAAGCATGCCTTCGTAAGAGCAGGTACTGTGAGTGACAAAGCAAATTATTTAGAGCAGCACGTACTGGGTAGCAGGTTTGATCCACACTTTATACTGAATTTCAGAAAAGCAATGAACTCCCCCAAAAACTTTGCAGGGAGTAAGTTACTGCCCCCTTTCTGAGTACTTGACTCCCACAGAAAATAAAGTTTACTGGTTTTAAAACAAAACCCTGAAAGGAACATCCTGGAATTCAATCCACTCATCTGCATTGGAACTGGCGTTCCTCCCTCATCTTGAAACCAAGCAGCATCTTAAAAGAAAACTCATGCCTATGTCCCAGCCACTTCCCACTTTGCAGATGGGTAACCAGAACTCACCTACGGTCCTCAGATTTGGGGATGGGGTTGGTGCAGCGTTGGCTGTTATACTTGGCCACATATTCACATTGCTTGAAGGGGGCAGTCTTGTCCTCCAGAACGTGTCTGATACAGAAGGCGTAGCCGTTAAGTCGCCTCTGCTTACACAGTTTGGGGCTATATGAGCACAAGGGCTTATTGTCAACCTCAGAGAAGTGTATGTGTTTGCCTTCATACATCACGTGACTCTATTCCTTGTGAACATCAGCTGAAAAAACCAAAATATTAAGACAAATCACATAAGGAAAAAAAATGCATTCAGTTCTAGATGGTGTGTTTCATTTTGGCAGGAAAGAGGGACCCAAAACAATACCTGATTTTAAATCTTCTGTACCATATCAATGTTAAGAGAGAACCCCAAGGACACCACTATCCTGGAATGATGATGAATCAAGATGAAGCAGATTGTCTAAGGAAAATACCAAAAACGTCAAAGTCAGTCAGCATAAAATAGATATTATTACTGCTTAATAAGTAAGTGGCCAGATGTAGCCACTAAACCTGTGGTTCAGCTAGCATCCAATAAGCCAAATCCACTAGCACAATAATTTTCAATCAGTAGTCACAGATCTTTGGAAACCGTCAAAGGAAATTGTTGGGAGAAAGAAAATTCTACTGCCACCGCACTTAAAACTGTTAAATAAAACTCCACTCATCTACCAGAAAGTGATTAGGAACAACAAGTTGAAAAAGGTTAAGCATGACATTAGATCACTTGCTTTCAGGAATCAAGCTGAATGATGATTAACCCATTTGATTGCAGAGGTTTTACTCCAAGTATCTTTGCTTACAAAAATGCTGGCCACATTCCTTGCTTTGCAAAAGTTTAATTTCATCAGACAGTGCAAGAAAGCTTCTTGTAAAAAAAAAAAAAAAAAAGCTTGCTTTCTTTACCACACCTGATGAACAGTCTTCAGATCTTTTAGCTGCCCACAGCTTCTGCAAGCATCAATATGCAGCCCTTCCTGAGCTCATCATGTTCTTCAGAGTTTTTCCTACCTTATTGTACTTATTTCAGGTAAATGCAAGCATTAATAATGTCAAAGGCAGTACTCCCATCAATTCCAGGAGGGCTGAAATGTCATTTCAGCAAGACACTGGGTTTTCTTCCCCCCATAAAATAGATTCCTACAGTGCAAATCCATGCAATCATAAGGTACTTTTTCATTTCCCAACACTATGGAGTCTTTTTTTAAAAGATGATTGCCAAAAACAAACCCAAAAACAACAACAACCAAAAACAGCCAAAACAAACAAATAAAAAAACCACCCCAAAGTAGCTTCAAATAAAATTAACAGTACACATATTCTGCAGCTACTCTGCTACACTCAGCTTAGCCTGCAAAAGGCAGCTTACTATTCAGAAAGGCCATCCTGAAGCACTAGACTAAACTCTTTTCAACATGGTACATTCAGTGCTCAGTTTAGTTTCATATGTGTTATATACCAAGCAAAGGAATGTACATAGAGGTAATATTCAGGAAATATGTAATAAATTAGAGGCATATGACAAATGTACAAATTACCACCTCAATCAACTTACTTGTTCCCAAGGCCCGAAACAGCAAGAACTATTGCAAGGAGGGACCCTACACAGACTTTGCAGGAAAGATTCCTCTTGTGAAGGTACAAGCCTTCACATTCCGATGTATAAAAGCGCCTTGAGAAAATGACAAGTACTATGGCATTGGGGGATCTAGAAAAGCAACTTTAAGTCACTAGGGCAAAACAAAACACGTTATCACACTTCTAACAGTAAACTGCATAAACCAGGCCTTTCTTTAACATATATCTAAGCTGTAGAAGCAGGACAGAAGACTACTAAGTATTCAAACACACACTTAAAATTCTTAAAACAGTTGTATATGCACATGTGCAGCTTACACAGCATACAGAATGGAGACATGCGCTACAAAATGTAACTGGCACGTGACCTGATTAATCATTTGACAATAATAAGGATCATTTCATATTTCCTCTTTATACACATAGTTCCCTTTCCATGCACACATGCAAGAATACACGCCCAGAGGCAGGGGCCTTGCACTTTGTTTATGCTAGAAAGCCACAACACAAGCATCTAGTCCAGTTCCAATCACCTTTCCCAACTTCTCTCAATGCATGGAAGCACATGAAACTACAGAGCACATACTACATATATTTGAAACTAATCATTAGAGTATGGCCCTTCACGATGCATCAGTCTTAAGAACAAAAAAGTTCATTGTTGGCTGTGCCCTTCAAAAACACGGAGTGGGAAGAGGGAACTCTCTCTTCTTTAGCATGCTAAGAACCAAACAGCACCTTTGTTAAGGCAGATACTGACATACACTTCACTATTATCTAGCAAAAATGTGAAAGAAAAACATAAATCCCATGGTGATGTGCGACCTGGTTTTGGGTTCCATGTTTGAGTGACAGCCTCCTCCATTACTATGGCAGCAAAAGTAATCAAATGAGTCTTAACTAATTGCATCTCATACACACCAGGAAGCTGACAGAAAGCCTTTTGCTCTGGAATTTGCCTCTCTTGACAGTTAACCAAAGTTTGTATTTGGTAGCATACTGGACAGGATGCAAAACTTGAAAAAACAAGTGCATCTTGCAGTTGGGGCGACTCACATACTGCTCTCTATTTCTTTCTGGTTTATTTACCACTTTCTTTTAAGCTACGACTTTCATGCTTTGCAGAGTTTTTGATGGATCAATGACCACCTTCCCTTTTGCACAACCCAGCGATATTTCTTTTCTGAAGGTTATCAAGCAACAGACCAAACGAAGAGAGTTCCTCAGAATGGTTCCAAAGTAAACAGTGAGAAATGCATACCCGGTGTGCCTCTGTTAAGCTTCTGTAAAGAAACTGCTCCACAGTTCCCAGACGCTATAATCCTGGACTTATTCTTGTGCCCCCAGTCTTATTTTTGGATTTAACTCATAATTAAGTCTTATTTTTGCATTTAACTCAACTATGTCAAGGCAGGCATAGTATTTTACTTCTCATTTGTCTGAAAAGATACATGGCACAAGTACAATGCCATATGAAACATTTCTAAAAAATACTGACAATAATCCTCAGGTAAACCAATAAGCTTGAACACTAATTTCTAGGTCTATATATACACTAAGAGAAGCTCATGCAAATATAACTGTGTTAAAAATCCTGACAGGAATCAATTAGTGCAACTACAGTGTAAAGAACAAAAAGAAAGCTAATATACCTAGGAGCCAATGTTATATTAAAAAAACCCTACAGCAAATCTCTCAAACTTGCAATCGTAGCTTTAGTGGTAGATTCCTACACAGACTCTCCAAAAGACAGTGGCACTATGTAGATACACCACCAGGATCAGAGACTGAAGTTGTACTTCATCTAAAAAGAGATTCTTCTTTTTACTTCTATAGCATACCATATATATATATATGAAAATAACAAAGATTTAAATTTATTGATTCTGATTTAATCTGATGCAGTATTTTTTTTTTAACAAAATATACAGGAGTTCTTAACACAGCTTTTTGCTGCTACATAAAAAGTGGCACAAGCATGGAATAGGCACATGTCACTTAACTGAAGAGAACTGAAACTACACTTAGCTAAATAGTGGGTGGGGGAGAAATTATTTTTGTCCCACAGGATTCTGTAAATGATGACGGAAACATGGACTTCCCCTGGAAAAATCAAATGCTTAAGCAGCTGTGCTTCACTGAAAAAATATCAGGGTACAAAACCTTCTGGAAGCTGTTTTGGGTTTTGCATTTATACTCTACATTGAAGCTGTAGAAAGGTTCAACAGAAAGATATGCTTCAACAAAATGATGCCTCATATGCTCAAACTGGCTTTAGCCACAACCCATGAATGAGAAACCAGAGGCTGCTTCTTGAGGTACCTAGATTTTCCTTAAAGAACTACTTCTAAAGAAAAGATTTTGAGCTAGTCAGAAGGGAACGCAAAAATGTGTGCCATTGCCAAATGATGTTAAGACATGACAGGTTTAAAAAATCATGGTAGGGGATAAGGTGAATATAGAATGGTCATATACAATATCACACAATGTTAGAACTAGGGATACTCAATGAAGCTAGTACAGATTGACTCAAAACATACTAAATAAGTACTTTTTCATTTTTACTACTCACAGGTAGTGAACTGCTGGAACACGGTGTCACAGGAGGCTATGGAAGCAGACAGTATCATCAAGTTCAAAAAGGCAATAAAAAAGTTCATAGACAATAGGGACATAAGTGACATACCTGCTAGAACGCCTAATTTAACAAATATGGATGGTGGAGGAGTAAGAGAGGAAAACACTAAAAAGTGTCTGGGCTTTCATGCTCTTCCTAAATAGTATCACTTACTCCTGCTGCCCAAGACAGGTTGAATCAACCCCTGATCTGACTCAGCAGGGCTTACATTCTTATGAGGTTATCACTAACATTTGTAATTTGATAACACATTCATCACCCCTTCTCCCATTTTTTTATTCCTGAGCAGCTGACTGGAAGAAAATCTCCTCTCTTTGGCAAAAGCCCTATCTGGACATGTAAAGAGCAACAAACTTAGCATCCCAGCAAGGCTTTATAGCAAGGACAGGCAGAAAACAGAGCAAAGCCATGCTCTGCAACATCATCACTTAGAGCAGAGCTACTTGTCCTGCTGACTGCAGCCACTGGTGGTCCGTAAGACAGCAGAAGGGGGTTTGCAAAGTGACTGTAAAAAGAGAAATGGAAGACTTAAATACACATGGGTACACACCTGCACAACCATCAGTACCTGCTGTCAGGCATAGGAAGAAGCCAGCTCCCAACTGCTTTTAGTACTCGCAAGCAAGCATAATCAGTTCCCTTGCGGCACACATCAGCTCCAAGACAACAAAGGAACAGCTCTGCACTCCACATACCCTTTCCCAAAACAGTTAAAGAGTGTAGCAGCAAACTTTGGGAGAAAATCTTTGCTAGACCATACTGAGTATCAGCATTATGTCATACAGAAATTTGGTATCTGATATCACCTATAGCCTATAGAGAAGTTAAAGGCCTAGTCACTATTAGAAAACCCAAAGCATTATAGCCCCAAAACTCAATCGGTAATTTTAAGAAAGCATCATGCTGAAAATATTAGAATATTTTAAAACACGTGGGTTTTAAAAACACCTTCTTAAACATATGCTCGGAATTTGACATTCAACGTACGTAAGACCCTTTTAGGCAATGGAATCCCCAAATGCATTGCAAATTGCAAGGCAATTATGTCGGTGGTTAAAAGATGTATAATTAAGAAGACTGAGCTCAGAGCTTCACACATTGCATCCAAACAAAAGCCACGATTAAAGAGGTCTTAACTGTGTTGTTTTGCATTTGCTAATACTAGTGCAGATTTCATGTTAAATTGCTTGGTGTGTTCATGACATCTCACAGACAAGGTACAATCATCTACATATGCTTCCAAAATCACCAGCTTGGGGCCAGAAGTGGAACATGGATCTCCAAGAACCTCGGCTTTTTTGACAAACACAAATAGCATAAATAGTAGTTTTGTTGATTCCTCAGCTTGACCAAGAAAGAACAATTTCCTGTGTTGTCACAGCCTAACCTTTTTTGCTGAGACAAACAATAAATACACAGATTTTAAGATGTTTAGGCAACATGGAATTTCATCCACTCAGAGGTCAACAGAGACCATAAAAATCATTGGAAAAAGACACACATTTAAAGCTAATTCACAGCAAAACCTTTCAGTCAGTATTAGTAAAAACTATATTATTAGAGAGAAAGCAAAACATACCTTTTTTGGTATTTCATACTAAGAGACTTTAGGCAACCAGTACCACTCTGGGAAGTGCCCTGTTCTATCAAGAGAAGCTGCACTACATCTAATTGTGGTCAACATCAACACCACAAAGTTGTAACTTCTGTCCCTATTCTGTGATCTAACCATAACTTTGGCTTAGTTCTGGTCATTTAACAGCTCAGTTCTCTGCTATGCTCAGCTACCAAACCAAGCCTGCTGTAATTCTGGAAACAAGAGTCTTTTTGTTAGTAAAAGCATCCAAACTGAGACAGAAAACACTGAGAAGCAACCAAAGTCAACTAGAAGAGTTCCTGTAGGGTACACTTTTATTAACTAGAGCGCAATCCTTACTCAAGAAGGCCTCTGAAGAGTCCCAGACAAGTCAAGGTACTGCACACACGTGCAAGTACCCTGACAGATCAAGGCACTTAACATGTTAAGATCGTACTAGACATTTTTAGTTACCACCTGAAATGATATATTGGACTACTTTTTTTTCATATGTTAAAATCTACCTAGGAAGATAGAAGCAGCAACATTGTCCTCATTCTGCCTTTTTAGAACACATATTACTTCAACTCTGCAAAAATGCAGTTTATACTGCATAAGGATGTCTGATACATTAACAGAAAAGCAGCAATATATTTTCGGCAATACCGGTAATATAGTTTATGCTTCCAAATATAATGCAAGTAGTTCTGCATTAAATTTAAGTATTATTCCTAATAATAATAATGGATAGAGAACTTAACAGACTTGTAACAAGTTTCAACCAACAGCAGAAAACATAACTACAAGGAGGGAAAATAACTTCTTTTTCCAAAACTGAACAGGTTCTTCTTTTTGTTTTCTTACACAAAACTAACTTAAGCAGGAATTTTAATTTCATCTGATTCATTCATCTAATAAATAGCACCTTAAGGAAAGCATGACAAAAACAACCCAAAGCCTAAAAAACAACAAACATTTAAGACTCTAGGAATTTAGAAACTTCAAAGGATTTCTAAAGATAAAAGATGTTAAGTAGGAAGATTCGTAACTGTTGCTAAGAGCACATTCCTATAGATTTCAATAAAATAATTTCCTAAACATGGCTATTCCTGACCTACAGTTCAAGACAGGCTCCATATCTTTGGAAGTCTTTTGAACAAGGATTTCTCTATTTGAGCAGGTCTCAGGCCCCAGACCTGCAATCACATCCTCACAGGCAGAAGCACACTTATTTCAGTGTGGCTATAAACAGGCCCAGGTTTTGCCAGGGTGAGTGGGGCTGCAGACAGGCGGCCTTCAGACACAGCAACAAATGGAATGTTTAGGCCATTGCAGTATCGTGGAAATGCACTTTAAAACATTATCTCAAAATATCAAAACCATGATCCTGAGAGAAAGCAGAGACTAAACATACCAACAGCATACCTTGCATCTGTACTTGAATGAAGAAAGAGCTGCAAGTCCAAGTCTTTTATTTATTCAAATAACAGATAACCTGCACTTGCATATGAGGTCAAACAAAGTACCTTAGTCTTATTTTTAGTCCCAATGCTGCAAAGACAAAGAAGCTTATTTTCACAAAATACAGGAATATCATTCTTGCTTCAGTGGGAATACTTAATAAATAAAATAAAGCAGTACAGTTCCTTACAGAGCATCCTTTTAGCAGTCATAAGCTACCGAAGTCGCAATACGGTATTACAATAAATTTGTACCTCCTGAAGATTTACCATACTGTAAGAACATAGTACATGCAACTCTGTAGGACCAGGCCCTACATACAAATTCATTCACTCATCAAAAAAATATTGAAAGATCAAAATAACTCCCACTAAGTAAATTTCGGGTTGCTTTCTGTAGTTAATTTAGTTTTATAATTAATAAAACTTGTCTGATGTATGTATACATTACAAGCAAATCACATAAAAGGCTGAAGATGGCTGCAAAAATGTCACCAGGTTGTAAGTGACAGCTTCATACAAAACATGAACACTCCAGTTCATCAATCAGCAGCAGTACCTGGTGGGTACGGCCTTAGCATGAAACGCTGCCAGTACAGGGGTGCCCACATGAGAAGGCATTCGACTACAGGGAAACGATGCGTTGCCCTAAATTTGCCAATTTTCTTTTTAAGTCTACCAACCCTCAAAAATTTAGAACAGCCTTAAAATAAACCTTCATTGTATGTTGTGAAGTAACAAAGTTAAACTAACTATAGATCTACATTATTTTAATCAGACGGCATAATATAAGACTTTAAGATGAGCTTTACTGTAATTTCCAAAATCCATTCAAGGTTACCTGTACAAAGCCATCAACGTTTTGAGCTAAACAACGTATTAAGTAACATTTGACCAAAACTAGACACCTCCTTGCAGTAGAAACTGGAGCTATTTCACCTGTGCGGGGTGAAGCGCGTTGGTGGGTTTTCCAGTGGACTCACTTCACAACTACCAGACGTTCTTGTCCCTGAAAAAAAAGGAACCTTTCATTTTCAGTCCCAAGGGGTAGCGACACCTCACAGGGACCCTCCGGCCCAGCAGGACCCCAGCCCACGAGGACTGCTAGGGTCCCCCAGCGGGGACATGAGAGGGGGCCAGGGCCCAGGCCCAGACACGGCCCTTGCTGCGTAGGGGCCCCTGAGGTGATCCCTTCCCCTGGCCGCAGGGCCGGTGGGCTGTTGCCCCCGTTCCGCTGACGCCAACC